TTATCACCATACCACTAACGCAACGGTTCTCGAGACAAATAACACAACAAAATTCGTCGGTAACCATCGCATTTTTTAAAAATCTTTTTTGTTAGTTTTCTATTATTTTAAAATTTGATTTTGGTTACTCTTCTACTTTTCAAAATACTTATCTAATCAATATTGACATCATACTATTAGTACTCGTATAGATTAGATAAAAATATTGTTTTGACAGTTACTGAATATTTTATCAACTTTGTTACTACATTTAGTTATTTATTTATTCAACGCGAAATTTATAAGGGTCGTGGGGTTTTCGGGCCGGGACTTGCGGTCCCGAATTCCTCTATAGATACAATAATTATTTTTGAGTAGTAGGTACATTGGGTACAAAAATTTGTTTTTCTTCTTGGGAACGTACACTCAACAAATATTTGAAGTTATACAAATAAAACTATTAAATATTTCATTTTTTTTACCTTTCATTACAATTAGAATCCTAAAAAAATACTCCTTACGGATTATAATATTACTATTTTCTTAAATATTTAAACATTAAATTACAACAGTTTAATTGATTGTAAAGGGGTCTCTCAGTAAGAGTGCACTTTTTCATTTTAAAATAAAAACAGGTATTTTACGAAAGAGTTGTGATATTTTTATTGGATTGTAAAGAGGACATGTTCCGAATAGAATATTATTTTTGATGATATTATTATATGGCTTAGCACCGACTTCATACAGACTAGAAGGGACTATTGCTATTATAATGTTACCTGTTATATTGAGGGTACTTACTATAGTTTCTTTACTTAGATTTGTAATTTATTTTCAGTACTCTTTGTCATTATTGTTTGAAGTCGGTTCAACTTTCTTTTTAAAGGATTTATTTTATATTTTTTAGTGTAAGATATGTTTGTAATGAGTAGGTAAGTACAATATTTAAAACACTACGTACCGTACTGTGAAGTACCAAACTGTAGTTATTTAAATTTTTTAGATTATGTTAAATATAGTTTAATATGTCCGTTACTTTCCATGTGGTGACGGATTAAGAATACAGAGTGTCACCACCCCTATTCATCCCCATGGGTGTCGTAAAAGCCGACTAAGGGAGAATACTCTACAGGAGAACAGTACTGCAAAAAAAAGTAAAATTTGAAACAAACCCTATACCAATCCGTCTGGCCAGCGAGGTATAGTAGGCCAAAACGTTAATTGTAAGGAGAGGCCTATATCCAGCAGTGGACTGTTAGGGGCTGTTGATGAATTCCGTTACTTTATTTAGATAAGGTAGTTAGATGATACATTTAAACCCGAAAATATATTGTTTTCTATATTACTAAATTTTCCAAAACTACGAGTGGTATTTTTTCTTCACATTTGAATGAAACTAAAGAGGACATATACCCTTCGAAATAAAAAATCTTTTCGTAATCGGTTTACAAATTAAAGAGTTTTGAGACAACCAACATGAAAATAACGGCGTAGTAAACTTTCTTTTTGTCTAAATGTTTTGTAATCTCATTTATTACTTTGTTATTGCTTATTCCGTACTCATCTCACCTTTAAAATTAATTTGTTATTCTTAACTCAGCCCGATTTCTATTAGTAACTTATCCCAACGCAACAAGTACAGAAAAAGTATGGATAGCATAATCCTTTAAAATTTATATTTAAATTTATATAAAATTATTTAATAAAGTTACATGCGTATTTTGGTATGTGCCTTACTTTAACATCGCTATAATTTCTGTGTTAGACACACGTCAAGTGTTCACGAATACTGATAAAGTAAAGGGACAGACTTGTCACAGAGTGAGAAAGAGACAAAATCCCTTTCATTAGAATAAGCTCTCAAGATAGTTCATAATGAAATATAAATGCTAATTTTGCTGTTCGATAGTTGTTCGGTTTGGTAAGTAGTAGATATTGTATCAACCCTTATTTTGAAATTATTTTTACTACTATGTCGATTGATATATGTAAAATATTTAAGAGTCGATTCTTCATTTTAAATGTAATTTGAAAACATCTCTCTTTTTTAGTTTTATTAAGTAACATTATTGTGTAAATCAATCTACTGCATTACATATAAAAAAATATATCTTCAATTCAGTCGCACTTTAGTTACTCTCTCAATGCAACAAGGTGTTTATAACCTATTTTTTTTACAGGCCTTTGAATTTGCAAACTGTACTTACAAAAAGTGTTTTATAAGAAAATTGTAGTACGTGATGGGTTAAGAATAGCAGATTATATAAAATGGGATCAGTTAGGAATAAAATCATTTCCTTTAAGTCCCACTAACACTAATCCCACTACGTAGTGGGATGAGATTTAGTGGGAGAAGGATGGAACAACCCTTATTATTATACTTTATTCACTGTATTTCTTTACTTTTAAATCATAATAATTTAATAGTGGGTACCAAACCCACCCACCCAGGGTTATAAATGCTTCAAAAAGAAGTCACATAACACTGCTTTCTACTTAACTCACATTAAGTATATACTTATATTATTTCAACTTAATGTTTAGTTCAATACAGAATCTTCAAAAAACAGACAAAAACCGTTTTACATACCTCTTTATGCAAAAAAATCAATACAATGTATGTAATAGAAAGTCATTGGACCAGTCGTACCGGTTATGAGACAGCGTCTTTGCAAGTCGGATGACGTTAGCCGCTGTCAATTTTACATGGGACCTTAATGTACTATCTATCTACATCATTTGGTATTTAAATACTATTTAAAATAATTAGGTCCTATTTCATTATGAACGTTTTGGTGCATGTACGTCCTTTAAAGCAAAACCAGACAATACACGAGAAAAGTATATTATATATTAAAGAATATTAGTTTATAATAGTGAAGTAAGGTTATTAAGTATATATAAGATAGAAGAATAGTCCTGCAAATATATACCAGCTAAACCAATTCGAGAAAGAAAGACAACTGTAACAAGATCGGATGCAGAATGACCAACATATATGTAAAAACCAACCCAATTAAAAAGATACGAGTAGATGGAATATGACAACACACCAATACGCAACAGGGCTACCAATTATATCGTCAAATTATTATCTTAAAGTGACAAAATTATTATTTTTTTAAATTACTTGTCGCCAAAACTGTACGAATGTACTGTTTCACTTCACAATTTAATTTTACAAATTTCATGTATGATTATCAATTAGTTCATTGTTTAAATAAAATTGAAATAGTTTAAAAGTTTGGTAGCCCTATAAAACAACCATGACCAACGTCTACGGACAGAGCGTAAGGTTCTTTATAATGTAGTGACTCACCCGAATGGTAGCGACTCTCATTCCGCGTTAGTCGCCTGTTGGTCCTGCCAGGCGGCGAGCGGAGCGCTGCGGCCGATCTCACTGCGACCCAATAAAGAACCACACGTACACGTAACAACACACACACGCTCACCACACGCTTACTTACACAGTCACCATTTATTTTTTTGATTTCGGAATCGAATACGCTCTATTTTTTTAATATATCTGGGATGCCGTCTAACATGAAAGTGAGATTGTCTTCGATTCCAAAATCATAATGTTACTAGGTACCTTGGTTTGTATGAATTCTAATGACAATAATTAGTTAATGAGATATAAATAATGTTATATTAATGCTAATTTTTTACTTTTGCTAATGAGAATATTTGTGTTCCTTAAGCATTACTGTAGTCACGAACGCTTAATAATCAAAATACAAGTAGGCCATTATTATAATTCCAGTGAGTGAAGTAAGTAGATAACATTAACTGTACAATCATCACACATTTTCAACCACAGTTTACCTACAGGTACTATCGATCCATTTACGCCGTATGTAGACGACGCCATTTTATACTATTAAGTTAGAGATAAAACTAGCGAGCGGCAAGCGGCACGACAATAAGTTAGATCAGTGAGAAGTGCTTTATTATAACGAACATTAATAACTTCATTCAAGAATAGTGCACATTGTTTTGAGGAACACAGATGTAAATTAATTGTGTATTAAGTGTAATTTGGTAATTTGAAATTTCATTTATCAGTCCAATAAATACACAAATTGTGTTTTAAATTACAATTTTATAAGATCCATGTTTTAGAAGTTTCTACGCCCGCACTGCTCCGAAATAACGCTCAGTTGTCGCAGTCCGGATAATGCACATTAAAACTTATTTGCGTTACACGGGTTCGTGGCATCATTCGATGATCCCAACTATTAAGAATTCAATTCTAACAAAATTAATATATTTGAAACGTTTAAAGTTGTGTAAATAGACAATCGTTGGACTTTCCTATGAGAGCATTTTTTGTAAAATACCATATTCCCAAAATATATATTTTGGGAATATGGTATTTTACAAAAATATTCGAGGCTCATCAGATGATGGGCTCGAATATTTTTTTCGATTTAATAAGATTGGTGTATAAAACGGGCTGCCTTTAGGGTTGTTCCTACGTAGAGCGACTCGATTTTCTTTCCCTTACATTTTTGAAAACCTGTAGAAGCTTTTCCCGCCGCTGAAAGTGGAAACATTTTATGACTTTTATTCATTCTATTACCTAATCTTTCGAATGCAATAGGTCGCCATGAGGCTCGAGTAAAACCCCATTTAGCATCATGGGCTCACGGCTTATATAGTATATAGTGGTTAAACTTTCCGAAATAAATTCCTCTCTGTATCCGTACAATTTATTTTAATATTATCTTAACTATTTAATTTTTACAGATATTGAATTTTAATTTACGTCAAAGTTTATCTTATTTGTTTTTCTGTTATATAATAATGTTATTAAATTAATCTGTCCATTTACATTCTAAATATATACCAAAGAGACTATAACGCAACTGCCTGTGGCTAGTTGTATAAAAACTTCATACCGCAAAAAGTATTGCATACTTTTTTTTTATCGAATTTCTTTTTTTTTAGTTTGTATTGACGTTTACGAAAAATATGTTATCACAGTGACATACAATAAAAACAATTTATTGTAGAAAATAATGAGTAATTTTGTGAAACCAGAAATCGAAGTGGACGTAGAGCGTCTGGATTCTGACATCATAGACGAACATCTTCGAAACTCAACTGTAGTACTACATGATATTTTAAAGTGTTCGGAAGAATTAGAGGACTCATCCACAGAAACCAACGAAGGCCATATGTGCCAACACTGTGGTAAAATCTATAAAACTATCAGTACATTACACGCTCATTGTCTTTTGATACATCCTCAGAATGCTGTTGAGGGTCAATGCATGTCGTGTGACAAGAAGTATCCATCGTTGCTGAGCTTGCAAAAACATATACGTTACATGCACCGGTACGAGCACCGATGCAAGGCTTGCTATAAAACCTTCGCAACGGCTGAACTTCTCTTTATGCATGGTGAAGGCTGTAGTAAAACTGAGACGCCCTGTTCGCAGTGCGGAAAAGTGTTCGATTCAACTCTTTCTTTGAGAAACCATATAAAGTATAAGCACCCAGAGGAAAGGAACCATTGGTGCGACTTGTGTCGACGTACGTTCACGACGCAGCGCCGATTGCTGAACCATATCGCGACAATACACCCACCCGGTGCGACTGACTGCAGTTGGTGTGAAAGGAGTTTCAGCTCAATAACTGGCATGCAGAGCCATATTTTGTACCGGCACACAGCAGACGGCGCCAAGTGTTTTAAGTGCCATAAAGTATTCGCGAAGAAGGTCTGTTTACAAAGGCATTTAGCTAAAAATCATTTCTTTAGTGTACCAGTTAAAGAAGACGACACTGATAGTAGTGCTTCAGACAAAATAACGAAATAAAAATTGTATGGTTTGAATTTAAATATAAAAAATATTTCTGTCACTTGTATTATTACTACTGCTGTAAGTAATATTATATGTACTATTTATATGATCTATCCATTTACTATGATTATACCATTGACCTAAGAATACGTGGACTACCCATATCTACAAAGTTACCGTGAGTACCTACAACAATTTGGCGTATAAAAGGGTTGTTCTTACGAAGAGCCGAAATGCCGATATCGACATTTATGTGAAATATTGAATGAATTGAAAAGATATCATTAATTAATTGAAATGATTTATTTTTGAATGATGAAAGTCCCAAAAAAAAAACAGTTCGCCGTCACGAGACGTCCGGCCATATGTCAATATTCAATTTTCTAATAAATACGCACGCAACGGCGGAGAGATGGGAAAAATGGTGAGAGATCGTCATGCAGTTTGTCGTCACGGCATATGGTTGGATTATACTGCCAAGGCGCATCTATAGATGTTTCAGAAAAGAAAACGCAACGTGTAGCTTTCTTTTTATTTTAATTTTTTTTTTAACAAATTATCGCACACGAAATTGTAAAACTGGGGCTTACTATGTGTGCGACATAGTAAGCCCCAGTTTTACAATCTCGTATTGACACTTTGCAAACATTGAGATGATATATGGTGTTTGACATCTATTGTTAAGGAGCAAATTACAGGTGCACTGGTCCTTTGACTTTTCTATTTAATGTCTGTGTGTAAAAGCTTCTTTTGTAAAGCCTGGTTCAGCATCAATATGTGGTAACAATCGAATTCATAACCTCGTTCTTTTTGAGATTTGTTAAAATATATAATGCTAAGTGACCCATCGCAGTATAAAGAATTATTTGAATAGAAGATAAAATAAAACTAATCAATTTTTTTTCTTAGCAAAAATACAAAATGCTACATTAAAAAGTAATTGCCCTTTAGTTCATAAAAAGTGTTACTTACTTACTGATTATTACAAAGTTTATCTATACAAATAAATAAACTTGGAGTGTCTGTTTGTAATATTAAAATAACCGCTTTTTACTAAATGTATATGTATGTATGTTTACACGGTACATATGCCAAAATAACATTTTTTACAATTTTTGTTTGTCTGTCTGTTTGTGCCGGGTAATCTCTGGAACGGCTGGACCGATTTCGACGGGACTTTCACTGGCAGATAGCTGATGACATAAGGAGTAACTTGCCTACTTTTTTTTAGACTAGCTTCGCCCGCGGCGTTGCCCGCAGTTATAACAACAAACGCGGGTAACACCGCAGGTCTCAGCTAGTCTGTAATAAAATTATATTATTACCTTATAAAACGACCGTGAGTTGCATATTATTAGGTAGATAAACAATAACCTTTTGATAGCAACTGGTGTTTTTGGTACTAGTTTTGTCAGGTTTTGATGATTCGGATGTTACTTATAGTAAGTTTTCGTAACAAATATTTGTGAACAATGGATTACCTGGGCGTGTACTGGGCGTACATTTGCATCTACAAGCTCCCTTCACTCCGCAGACTAAGTAGAAAAAGCGTTAATGCTATCTAGATGTATATCTTAATATTATGCTGAAGAGATATATCTACGCAAAAATATCTCCTAATCCTTGGTGGCATACTAAAGTGTTTTAAGAGATGAGTGTATGATATTCATGATTGTGCTATAGTACGTCAAATAAGGAAATGATGGTACCTATTTTAATTTCGTATATAAAGTATTTTTATGACCTTGATACTAATCGAATTTATATAACATACCTTATCAAAATGGAATATGAAAATATGCGGTGTATCGTATATTTTTAGAAATTACCATAAATGCATTTTACTGAATAAGTACACTTTGCCACCCACTAAGATAGCGAATGGGCATACAGTACGTCCGGTACTAAGGAAGCAGTTAATTTCCTTGACGACACGTTCGCGGATGCGCGGCAATAATTTTCACTAGTGATAAGCACAGAATGACGCACGTGCCATTTTTTTTTTGAAATGTTAGAACAACTGCTGTAACAGATAAAATGGTCATACTACTACCATACGGTTTATTATCAAGCACCCCGAATTGAATATTCCAATTTGCCAGGTGTCGTATAGTGTATTTTTACACCTTTAAAAGCGTTACTATTCCCCGAGCAATAGGAATATTTGTTTACGAAATACACATCTGTCATAGCCGCGGCAAGCGCAAGCGCAAGCGTACGAGGATTCGTTCACTTGGTCCGCAAATGCGCGCGGACTTGAAATTACATGTTAGGGTTTTAAGCTATTCTGTATAAATATGAATACTATTATAATCTTATATATACATACTACTCGTACAGTTAAAATATACACAAGGTCTTCTATATATTCTTATTAAGAGACAGGTTTTATTTATAACAAACATTATTATCCTTTGAAAATGTTAGTTTTGTTACGTAAACGATTGTAATTCTCAACAGACTTTAAAAACACAAAGAAGAGCTTATCAATTCGTTTGTATTTTCTTTTGCACGTTTGTTATGCGATATCTCCGTCAATTGTAGACCAATTTTTAAGTATTTTTGTTAATCGAGAGACGATAGAAGGAGTATACTCCCGAAGTGGTCCCATTGCACCAAATCAGGATTTGATGATGAGATCCTCGACAAACCTAGGGAAACGAACATGTTTTAGCTTATTTCTCTAGCTTTATAGGGTTTTAGTATCGTCGTATAGTCGTTATGTCATGTTGCTGAGCTGATGATGGAAAGATTCTTGACCTTTAGGAGTTAGAAAATAACTCTATCAAAATTGAATCATGTATTGACTTGGTTTTAAAAAATGTGAAAAAATACCACTCCTGGTTTTGTAAAATTAAGTAATGTGGTAAATTTTTCGGGTTCAAATGTAACATCTTACTAAATTAAGCAACGAACTTATTAAACTATATTTAATGTAATCTAACATACTACAGTTTTGGTACTAAGTATACATTACGGTACGTAGTTTTTCAATATTGTAATTCTCTACTTATTACAAAAATATCCGACACTAAAAATGATAAAATAAATCCTTTAAAAAAAAGTTGAACCGACTTCAAACAATATTGACAAAGAGCACTAAAACTTAAAATATAATTACAAATCTAAGTAAAAGAACTATAATAAGTACCCTCAATATAACAGGCAACATTATAACAGCAATAGTCCCTTCTAGTCTGTTTGAAGTCGGTGCCAGGCCCGATGCACAATAAGTAATACTGGTCTTTGTCAGCTTAATATTATCACAATAAAAAATTAGGAGTTTAATATAATTCTAATGAAACAAGCTTATCAACTACTTAACAAAGCATTCAAAATAATAATATTATTGGAGATGTGGTAACCCACTTAATCTCGTTCAGCATGTTTTGCGCAGCATGAAGACTGATGCAGGTGCCGCGCTACATTCTACCAAGCCTATCAAGCACCTATTTGGCTTATTTTATAATTTTTTTATATTTCATATTGTTTTTTTAATTTTTAGTGCTCTTTGTCAGTATTGTTTGAAGTCGGTCCAACTTTTTTAAAAGGATTTATCTGATGTTTGTAAGATGTCTATTGGTCACGGTATTGATAAAATACACTGTCTTTCATAAAAAGACATGTATATACATATATAGTTCATACTTTCCTCATTTGGAAGTAAATTTATGTGTTTTACTTATTTCAGACTTACAGAAGGTATATATACTACACTTCAGAGGTCTCGGAAAGTACCAAGTAGTAAACGAAAACATTACGTCCTACTATCCTAAATTCACATTTTATTCTCATTGTGCATTTATTGGCAATTATTAGGATAGATCGCTTATATCGGTAGAGAAGACGACGTCGAGCGCGCTCTAAATTTTTTTTTTGTGGAAAGCCTTACAGTTAAGCAGAAAAATATGCAAGAAACTAAACATATGAACGCCAATTAAAATTATTCAATCAGGATTTCATTCATATTCTATAGAAAGGAAATGAGTTGTTAGTCTACAGTCTATGTGTTGTACTCAAAACGTTTTAACGGTAAGTGAGGCTTTCGGAACAAGATGCATCTTGCTTTCAGTCCTTAGATAACTTGTCTACTATTTACTATTTTGAACAGATATACAAATCTGCGATACGCCTACGTTAACGGTAACAAGAGTATTTAGAATTTTATAACATTAAGTGTGCAATAAACATATTGAGTATTCCGGTTTTTTGTATGCGCTCTAATCTGTCCCTGTATCTATGTGTTGTTGTAAGAATACCCTCCTTTGGGAGCGTACTTCTAAGTGACTCACAAAGTACAATAAAGTATTTTAAAAGCTTATACATTTTTAAAATCACAAACTGAATTTTATATTACCCAAGGGCTGTATTGTTGTTGTAAATCTTGTCGATTTAAATTTTATTTAGTAATCAATGTTTTACCAAGATCCTGGACTTTTTCTATTAAAAAACTACATTAAACGACACAGAACTAATCGCACGTATACTTACGTTTCAAGAATCTTCAATTTATATTAGTTTTCATACAAAAGCTGGATATTTATGAGATAATAAGGTGAAATATTAGCATGTACGTCGGTCGTCAGGCGTAAAGTTGCATGGCTACCCGACCGTGGCACGGTAAAGGTCGTCTTAATAAAATATAATATCCGCCATGCGATAAGAGTTCCGACACTTATAACACCTTTAAAAATTTTAAAGTGTTTAACTGGGTTTGAACGGGATCGATATTGGATACAAATATAGACGTTATATGGAAATCGCTTGCCCGATAATGCCTTAAAAAACGAATGGAATTGTTCCGTCAGGGTCACAAATTAAGATATGCTGTTTAAGCTACGTAATAAAGTATATGCGTGATATTCCTACATTCATAATTTTCATTTTTAATGTATACACATGTTCAAATCAGCTTTAAAGTTTATATTGTAGCTGGCAGTTGATAGTTTCTTGTATAAGAAAAAGGGTTTTACAAGCAAAACTACTTTAAATTAATGAGTATAACAAATTCATTA